TCTGGATTAGATAAAGCTCGCCGGCAGTAAGATGCAGCTGGTGTCGACCTATGAGAACGATTGATCGCGGCCTCCTTTATGTCCTAGAACTTGTCCTAGGGATTTTAGAATTGCTAATCGCCATGGAACTGCCTTTCACGGGCGAACAAACGGCGCTCGGTCGTCTGCGAGGAAACGAGCCCTGATAAGGGTTGTAAAAACTCACCTAACAGATCCCACTCGCCGTTAGTGATGAAACTGCTGATGTCACCACCGGACTCGTCTTGCAGTTGCAGGTCCAACTGTTGGAAATTTATTACCATCGATTAGACGAAAGTTTATTACGACCGCAGTGCGCAACAGTTCTCGCCTCGCTGAGACGCAATTCGAGAATGCGACGCTCTGTTAAACAACAATTAACATTTCGCACGTACAATCGACTAACAAAAACAGGAATCAACTGCCTTCTCTGTTTCTTTCTGCTTCTTCTTAACAAATCCCCGTGCATTCTCAAATTTCGTCGTTCATCGTGTAACTCTCATCGTTAACCTCTTGACTCGGTAAGACGAAATATTTCGTCGTGAGAATTTTAAAAGTAACGTGTAACGTGATATTTCATTACACGTTTGCTAGATATGTCGTGAAATATTTTGTCGAAAGAAACAGTCAAATAAAACTTCTCACCGCGAAGGGAAGAATCCCCGTTGCGAAACAAATTGTTTTTCAATTATTCGAAATGATCTACTTCTCCTAAAACATTATATTTCGATTCTTTAAACTTCAATCAGGGTGTGCCAGATGTTTTTTTCCGAACAAACTTTGTAAAACACACTTAGTAGCATTACTCGTCGTTCGTTTTACATTTCACTTTATTGCTACAACTGGTTAACAAACAACGAGTCGGACTGTTGTACGTGCAGATTCTGTCTCCGATGAAAGTAACTTTACCGGGCAAGTAAAGAATTAAGAAAATAAATAAATAGATTATAATAGGAGAAGGAAAAACTTGAATCAAAAATTGGTAGGATATACCAATTTCTAATAAATCGACTGCTCTCTCGCCGTTGAAATGGAATTAACTAGACAATTAACTAGAGTACGTGGAATATATCTCTCTTGAAATCGAAGTGATTTTTAACCTTTTGCGCTCGTACGTCACAAATCGTATAAATGTTGAGATACAGATAAAATTTGTGTGTTTTTCGAATTCTTTTCTACTAGAACGGCAAGTTAACTTGTATATATATATATATATATATATATATATATATATATATATATATAT